TCCATTCTATAAAGTCTGATAACAATGCCTCTCTTGCTGTTCTCTCACAATGCTTGTACAGATAAAAATAAAGATTAAATGGTGCATACTAAAGTATGTCATATAATTTAAATTGTTATGCAACTACATTGAGATTAAAATTCCAAAACCATAGTACATATAACTAGTATTTCTATAACACCTTCAAATAAAAACAGAGATTAGATTTGCTAATGTTTTAATCTCCAAGGCCTATTGATTCCTTTGAGGTTAACGCATAATAATATAACAAGTTGAGTTCAAGATTTGCCTGAAGCAATTTTTTCCCTGCTCCGTTGTTTTGTCCTTTATTTTCTCTCATTTTTACTTGAAATTAAAAAATCTAGCAACCTCAAAAATTGGATCTTTTCTGGTAATATCAAAAACTAAACTAATACATATAAAAAAGCTTACTAGTGCATGAGAAAGACAATTGCATAAATAGGATGTTTTTTATTTTAATTTTTTCCTTGAAGTCTTTGTAGATTCAAGAATCTCACACTTTATCAATAATTTCAAGTCACTGATTTACATGCAAATTTTTTTCCAAATTAAATTCTGGTGTCATTAACTGTTTAATCATGTTATTTTTTTAATAATATGACTAAATAAAATGCCATATTAGCATCATTTGTAAAGTATACGAATTGTTTTGCTCTCTTCCATCCAGTAATAACTTCAATACTCAAATAATTCCTTTGCTTGCACTTTACTTAGTACATTATGAATTTCTAAATCTTTTTCTGTAAAAATTCCCTTCTAAATAACTATTCTATTATTGAGAGCTATATATTCTTTGTTCATATGTAATAGTAAGAAATTAGTTAAGAAAGATGAGCTAAGAAGAAAGCAAAATTAGCCTATTCTGGTGGCCTAAAAGATAATTAGGAAATGCTTTTCTTGGCTTCTTCCTTCCTTTCTTTCATTCTTTCATTGTTTCTATTCTGGTTGCTATTTAATCTTTTCCTTCTTTCTTTCCTTCTTTTTTAATTAATTAATTTATTTAGTGGTATAGGAGATTGAAACCAGGACCTTCATACTGAACTCTATCCCCAGACATTTTTCTACTTTTTATTTTGAGGCTGGACCCCTAATTCTCTAAGTTTTGAGATTAGGCTCAAACTCTTGATTTTTCTGCCTCAGCCTCCTGGAGTTCAAGGATTAGAGCCATTCACCACCATGCCTGGCTGCTTAGCTTAATTCAAACTATAAAAGTTCAAAGTTTTGCAATTAGTGGATATATTTGACATCCCTCCCACTCACATTTGAGGCTTTATAGTTTTTAATGCATTTAAATAGCTTCAATTACTTCTCAAAAACATTCATGAGAGAGATCCTAAAAGTGGAGGAGTAAAAAAAAGTCTATATTTTGAACACATGAATTGTGGGTTTTCATTAAGCTTGGTACTCTTCCCTAATTAGAGTAATGCAAGCTGACAGAAGAAAAAAAATCCATTATGCATTAACTTCATTTGGAGTTTTTTGTGCAGAAATAAATAAAGTTTGATTCTATTGCAATATGTTTTTTCTTAATTTTACCAGCCAACATTACAGTCACATAAAGAATCTAATATATAGTACAACCCTACCAAAACATCACTCTTATAAAATGAAGTAAATTATCAATTATCACATACAATCATTCATTTTAACAATGAAAAGACTCAAAGGTCAAATGATCCATGTATTTTTCAAAATTCAAACAGGGCTATGGGTAGATTTCATATATGGTATGTGATTTTGGTTTATACAATTTATAATACTACTATCGAAAGAGCACAGATTTAAGGTATCACCTCATTCTTTATAGAGGGCCTGGAATATTAAACTGCCTTCAGTACTGAAGCTTTGTCCTTCCCACAGTCACCAAACTAGTCTGAGGCCTTTCTAAACTGTCCCTGACAACTGTTTTTCCTTAATTTTGCAAATAACATTTGAAGGAGATATTTTCCCATAGGAACTTCTGGTCTTAAACACAATATAAACAGTTATTTTGCTATTCAGCCCTTGTTTGCAAGTGAAGTAGAGAAAGAATGCCTGTTTAAACCAATAAAACATTAATCTCTTAGATACTTCTCCCTATGAAACAAACAAAAAATGTCCTTGATAAAATCTTATGTTGGCATTAACTCTGTGTGGAGTTTCCTAGATTTAAATTCTTTCTAATGCCGAAAATGTAAAGCATCTCATTCCTGTCCAGGAATATTTGGTAAATATATAGAATTTCAGTTTGACATTATAAAAATTCAGGCAGAAAGAGAAAGTACAGCAATGATTACAGAAAATGATGAAAGAATAATTGGAATAAATCTTTTAATGTTAAATCAAACCAAATATGGATGCTTTGTGGAAAAAACCAGAACATATTCTATCCAAATTCTAATTTAACATATAGAAAAAATTTAGGCTATGCATACTCTGGCAAAAGTTAAACACATGTTGGTGCTTTTCACAAATATCAAATAGTGTGTCTAGTGGGAAAAGACTATTTTGCAATGTACAAAATAATTTCTTATGTTTTACTTAGCATTTTTCATGGAAATACTTTCTTTTAACTTCAGATTTATCATGGAGATTAATAAAGTAAAGCCTAAAGTGAAATAAAATCTAAAAATTCCTGAATTTGCTTACTTTCTGAATTATGAATGCATGTAAATATTTCTGTGTAAAAATATTTCTATTAATATCTCCATTTTATGCCTTCTGCCAACTGTATTTGCAATTGAAATATATTCCATTTTTTAACATATTTCATTTACGTGAATCAAAAAAAACTTATGCAGACATTTTTATCCCTTGACAGTGGACATTTTGATAATATCCTGATATAACTGATGGATGACATTAGATGTTAAAAGAAGTTATCGTAAGCAAAGAGCAGTATAACTGTAGCTATAAGAAAGCAAAGTTTTGATATGTTTGTATTTTCTTCTACAAGGAGTTTATTTTAAAAAGACATGTTAATATAATTTTCATATACATTTGAGAGAAATTTGTCAATAATATGAAAGTATTAATCCATGAAGTTAATTTACTATATAATAAATTACTCCCCACTATCCAAATGAGTGCAAAACTCCACCACTTTTCTTTTGAATTCTTTACCCTTTTCAAAAATCAATTCCTTACTAAAAGCCTGTGAAACATTTATTACTTAGGTTGTTCTGAATATAGTGGGAGAAAATACAGATAATGAGTAAAAAGAAAAGAGAGAGTAGTTTCTAATGCATTGCAAGGAAGGACTCCCCTTTATTCCATTTTGTCTGTCAGCATGACTTACTTCTACCTTTTCCTTCAGATCACTGAGCTAAATTTACTCATAAAACATTTCTTAAGAAGCCAGCAAATAGTTCCTTGGTTTCAAGGAATGAGAAACATTACCTTTAGTCCATGAAAATGGAAAATAATTCCTGAATGTGTCATGAAATTATAGATTCACCTATCTTGAATAACAGTGGGAACCTCATTATAGCCCTCTCTTAAATTCTAAAGCAAGGATGTTTAAGACACTGCAGAATCATTTCCTAGGGATTGCTTTCCATTCATTTTAAAGCAGATTAAACAGAGGCAAATGATTGTACAGGAACAGGAAATTGGAAAACTGTACATTTTAGCCAGAGAGAGAGAGAGAAAGAGAGAGAGAGAGAGAGAGAGAGAGAGAGAGAGAGAGAGAGAGAGAGATTTAGAAATTAAAACACAAAAATCTGCAAAAATGATAGAAAGAATGCTATTAAGCTTTTTCAGAAAAGGAAAGATGGGAAATAAAGTGGGCAAATTGGCTTTTCAAAGAATAAAGATGATACTATTCCTATTAAATGTCTGCTAGTGATTGTCCATAAAGATTTGTTAATTACTTAGGACGAATTTCTTGTCAAGGTATTATTATAGACAATTCAGTTAGATAGAAGTCAACATGCAGGAAGAGGGGGATTGAGTCCTCAAGGACGTCAGTGCATAATATGAAACTGCATCAAAATTGTGGGTGGAGGTGAATATGAAAGGGTTAGGCCTAAAGCTGGAGACTAATAGCCAGGCCTGCAAGCCTCCCTAGAGAGTCACAGAAACTTGAAAGTGTAGAGCAATTAATACCACCTGCTTCAGAGAATCCAGATAGACAGCAAATACATACATGGGTGACCAAAACATCTGGATGCATCCCTTCCCAATAATGCTTTTATTCTTTCCATATACCCTTGCTATGTGACTCATTTTCTTATTAGATCAACATTAGCTCAGTGACCATGTTTATTAACCGATAGGTTGATTGTTGTCTGACCCACTTTGTACCCTCACTGTTATTTTGCCTTGTGAATTACCCCTGACAAAGAACAGCAACACTATCCACTCAGGACCCCTCCTGGTAATCCAGAAGCTATTCTTCTATTTATTTCCATTAAAACTCTGCTAATTTTCTCTTTCGGTTTGTAACTTCCTTCTTCAATGTTGTGAGACCATGAACTCAGCACATCTGACCTCTAATAGATTGGCAGTTATTTTTCCCGTTTAATCATTATATTTTGAATCTGATAATGATTAAAATCTTACCTTTCCAAGTGGGACAATAAATTCCTTTTTTTCTTGTCATTATTTCATGAATCTTTCTGTGTCATACTGTTATTTTTTGTTACCACATAGTACATTCATTGGTAAAGTAACACTAGACAACATAGAATTCACTGAACACCATCGGCCAGATAAATAATCTTGAGTGCCATCATGAAAGAAAAAGTATAAAAATAGGTCAGTTGATTTTATACAAAATGACAGGCTTATTCATCCCTACTATTGTAAAAATAATTTAACTTTTAATTTTGTTAGGGGGATAGATTCTTAGCTAATCGCATTCTTTACCCTGTTACTTCTAGTAATTAAAAGCTCAACTTTACCAACATCCTTAGTAAAGAAGAAAGTGTGAGATTATGTTAGAGAGAACAATAGTGTGGACAAGAGCAATCAGTAATTGTAATTTTGTTTTGTTTTAGATTAACAAGACACATAATTTCCAAGGAAATCCTAAACTGGAAGGATCAGGATAACTGTTTGCCCAATTAATTTACAGAATTTTAGACTTGAGCTAGGAAATACAGCTCATTTTCTTTAGTCCTCTGTTTTCATTCAAGTTTGCAATCTTAATTCTTCCTGTAGACCAATATTTACGTAAGTGTTTTCTGTGTTTTACACATGGCAAAGAATATTAATATATGCTTGAAGTAAAAAATGAGTTTTATGGTAGATTTGAATACAATTAAGTACTATTTTCAGTGCAATATTTGCACAGCTTTTAGAATAGAAACATATTTAATATGATGATGAAATATGTATCTAAGCAGACATTTTTGACCTTGTACACTTCATGTTCTTGCTACATGTCTAAATGCCACGGTGTATTGCCATTATACATAGAAAATTGTTATATTTCTTATTCTTTAGGATTTGTTAAGTAAATTATGTACAACTTTGTTAGTCATCCATTAACTATGCAGCCTTGCATAAGAGATTTAAATTTTCTGAGCCTTAATCTGTTCGTACACAGTGAGGACAAAATTTGTTCCTACTTCATATAGTTGCAAAATTGAAAGATTTGATCTTTGTAAAATGCTTAGCACAGGACATGACACAAGCAAGAGAAACAAGAAAGTGAACAATGATTATTACTTTTAAATTTCCAAATATAAAATATTAATATACTACATGGAAGAACAAATGAGTGAATACATAGGGCCCCTTTTTCAGGGTTGATGATTGAATTTGTATTGCAAATTGCTCTAGGCAGAACCCTTGCTCATGTTCTTTATATACCCAGTCCCAAATCTATGGTTTACTTTATAAGGATGTCTAAGCATTTGTTAAAAGAAAACAATTATAAAAGCAAAATCTATATTACAACCAAAAAAGGGCTTTGTATGAGCATAAGGCTATTTCATTCCAGCATTCTGAAAAGTTGCATTTCCTTTTGCTGTCCCTGAAATGGCAATGGATTATGTGAAATGTATAAGTGGAATAAAAAATACAAGCATAAAAAATTTTCTGTCTTCAAGCCCAAAAGTCAATATATAGATTGACACCCCACTAAATTCTAGTAACGAGGCTTTTATAGTTTAAATTCTGTCTTCTTGTCAGAAAAAAAGTATCAGGAAATGTTCTTTGCTGTTAATGAGTTTTTAGCCTTGTGAAAGTAACTATTCCTTGTAAGGTATCTGGCATTTACCTCTAATTTGAGATAAATTAGAAGAAAGGTCTACCTTACCCACAGTGATACAAATAATTTATACAGAAGGATCGATAAGAGTTTATTTTATTAAGACTATACAAAGGGTGAAAAAAATAAACAGTGAAGCCATAAATTGTTAAAAAAAATTACAGTGAAAGACACATTGCAATTAATGAACCTTAAAATACTCTCTCCTACTTTAACACACTTAGCCCATTGTTCTTGTGTCTCTCTGGAGCAGCTCTGAAAGTTCTCTTTTCTGTCTTTAGAATTAAATTCTGATTAAAAATATAGTGAATGCTGCTCTCAAGTGCCATTCAACAGAAATGTATACTCGTGAAAATATTACCATGCATTCGCATCCACCTTATGCACTGCTCTGTTAAAAACTTTGCCACCTGGGTCTGTGTGACTTCTGGCTCTTTGCCCAAGATTAAATTTAAATATTTGGGCATTAAGGCAGCCAAGACTGTAAAACTAAGGACACTCATGAAAGGGGATTTCCAGAACTGCTTCAGAAAGTAGAAAGTATGATAGGATAAAAGTGATAAAATTGAGGGGGAGTATTTTTAGAGGAATTAATTAATTAATTAATGCATCTTTCATTGTAATAATCTTTTTTAAAAATTTAGATATTCATCATATTTTGCAATCACATCTCATATATTAAAATTTTTAAGATGATTTTTGTGTGGAGAAAACACACTCTGTGTAGCAGCGGCTACAGAGCTAAATGAAAAATACTAATTATTTTCACCTTAAAAAAGAGGTGAAAATATAATATATAGCCACTTCTGGTTTGGGCAAACTGTTTTATGTAGTACATTCTTCAGCACTGTGTATGGACAATATTTCACATCAATCAATTACAGCTCTTTAAAGTCTCAGAATACTAAATGATTTAACAAGTGACCTAGGTATTTCCTGCAGAACATAATAGTTTTTGAGAGATCTTATTAAAAAGTCCTAAATTTGCTGTTATTTTATCATTTTATGTCATTTATTTCTTGTATTATTACAGTAGACCAAATATGGAACATTAACATTTTTATAAATTTGCTTTATTGCATAAGGAAGACAGCAGAATTATAATTAGGAATCATGGTTACTTTTTCTATTTTACAAATTTACTGATTAAATCTGTGTGATTTAAAGTTTAACCCTCTCAAAAGCATGAACTTTCCTTTCTTTGGTCCTGTGTCTCTGAATTTGTTTCTCAGCCTATTCTTTAATCCACGTCATTATTTGAGGTTATAGTACAATGAAATTTACTTTCCACAACAAAAAAGGCTTTCCTTTTCAATAATTCCTATGAAAGTAGAACAAGAGCCTCAATTTGCCCTGGTGCCATAACCTTATTTGGCTTGTCTGATTCACATAGAAAAATAAATAGGTCTCTTAAACTAAAAGCCAAAAGACATGTCATCAGTTGCACAGTAGGCATCTGGGTAAGTACACAAGTAGCTGATTACAGAGGGTGTCATTGCCATTTCTCAAGCCCCTCTGAGTCCAGTAATATGTATTGACCAAGGATAAATGTGTTTCCTCTCTGTGGGCCACACTTTCAGCAGATTTTTTATTGCTCCAGCATCAAAGGGACAAAATAGATTTTGATCAGGCATAGGTATCTGCCAGAGGTCTCTAATCTGTAAGTGGCACTAATGCTAATTATATCCTAAGTGAACTGTAATGATCATTTAACTTGTGTTCTTCAGCATTTGATATAGAAACTTTCCCTATTAAGTATGGGGATCACTTACATAGACAACCATATTAGCAAAAAGAACCAGAACCATTTTTCATTTAATTATCCAATGAAATAAAAAATTTTAATGTTTCAGGAGGAAGATTACTGTGTTTTGTTAAGTATTTTTTTTGTAGAATATGATGTTAACAAGTTGTAAAAAAAATCTTTTTGTAGAAAACGATGCTAATAATAAGTTTCCTATAAAGATAAATTCTTGAAATAAAATCATATTTATGAATAATACAATCTACGTTCTCTGCAGAAAGTTTTATAAAATATTTTTTGTTAAAAATAGGATGTGATCATTTCTGCTTGTATATATTAATTTCCTTATAAAAACTATGGCACTCATGTGATACTTATTATTTCCTTGTTTGTTTAATTGTCACTAAATATTTTCATTTTTGTCTTTCCTTCAAAAATGTAAGCAAAAATCATCCATGGCATTAGCGTTACTCTAGGTTGAAAACATTCCAGGGGATTCTGACATACAAAAAGAGTTAAAATATCTGCTATTCCAATTCTACATTAGTAACTATATTTTATTTATATTTAATTCTCTATTTCTATACATTTTTGTTTTATTTATTTCTATATACAGGGCCAATCACATTCCATATTATTTTATTTATTTATTTGTTTGATTATTTATTTATTTATTTTTGGTACCAGGGATCGAACTCTGGACCTTGCACTTAGCAAGGCCTGCGCCGGAACCACTGAGCTAAATCCCCGGCGCGCCATACTATTTTAAACAGAAAAGGAGTCAAACTATAGATAATGTTCAGCACTTTATTTTAAACTTGGTAAATTTTGAACGTTTTCCATACTAACAGCATTAAGAAGTGAGAATAATTCTATAGCACTTAACTAGATTCATACTAATGAGCTAAAAGTTGTGTGTGTCTGTCTGTGTGTGTGTATATACAACAACTTTATGAAGTAAGTCCTTTTATTATCCTTGTCTTATAGATAAGAAAGAGAAACACAGAGAGCCTAACTAGCTAGCCCATTATGATAAGCTTAGATTCTATCGTAGGTAATCTGCTTCAGAGAACTTAATCATAAATGCTGTACTTACTTCCTTTCTACAAAGAGCTTACCCACGTCCTTTGAAATTGCTGCCTGCCCTTACATAATATAATGCATTATAATGAATTTAAGAATTTTATAGTTGGGGCGGGGATTTAGCTCAGTGATTTCGCCACCTGCTGCACAAGCGCAAGGACCCGAGTTCGATCCCCGGTACCAAAAAACAAAACACAACAAAAGAATTTTATAGTTGATGGACATTTAGGTTACTGCTTGTCTTTTATCACTGTAAATAGCACTGAGATACACATTTATATACATGTAAATTTGTTTGATGTCTTTTGTATAATACCACATATGTTTTGCTATAATATTGCACTATTATTGTAAGATAGTTTTCTACGAAGTAAATATCTGATTTAAAAAGTAGTCACATTTGAAATTTTCAGCAGTATTGAAAACTTTTCTATACTTTAATATAGTTTTAAAACCATGCTTAATTTTTCACTGGTGAGCAGAATCAAGATCTTTTCCAAAATGTACTCCCCAGTCAGTTGTGACTGGCTTTTTGTGTTTACCAAATTTGATGAGCATGTCATCTAGAACTTTTTTCTTTTTTTTTTAGCTAGAACTTTTAAAAAAGACATTAACAAATATAATAATTAAGAAAGGATTAGTGATTTAACTCTTGGGTTTAAATATGCATATCTTCTTAACACTAACTCCTTTATTCCTCAAAGTGATTACTAATAATTGAACAATATTTAGTTTATTGCTAGCTATTTTGTGCCAGACATAAAGCTTCAAATAAAATTATATTTGATAAAATATTTGTGGAATAAATGTCATCAAATGGTTTTATCTTAAAGATAACAAGTAATTTCATATTGTGCTATTTGTGACCATAATGGTAAATATACAAGGAGGCACTTGACTCTTGTATAGTAAATCTTGGACTGAGAGTAACTTGTTCAAGGAGTGTTCTGCAAGTGGAGTAAATACTTCTAATAAATTTCAACTTGATAAACAACCAATGTCTTGCAATACAAGTAGTATGTAACACTGAATGTCACATGATCACAACTGATCCAATGGTTCTCTCTCTCTCTGCTGTAGGACTGTGCATGATCATCTCTCAACAGCAAGAATTTATGGAGGAGATCTTGTATGCAGAGGAGAAAGATAAAAAGATGGAGGAATCCCACACATTAAATGAGATTAGAGAGATATGTAAATTGTGGGAAACAGTCTAGAATTTTGTAGAAAAGCACTATAAATAAAAGGTTGTAGTGGTGTGAGTGATGAATCTGTTAAATGACAATGCAATGTCATATCCTCAAATGGAGGCAAAAGCAAGTGTCACTTCATAGGTTCCTTGTTAAAATTGCACAAAAAGAAAAAGATTGCATTTAATCAATAGATAGCAGCAATCCCATTTGTGTTAGTAAAAGTTGTCTTCCCAATGAGGAATGTAACTGTATTGTATACCTAAAACATACCAATAAACTAAATGGAAAAAAAAAAAAGGAAGTTGTCCTGCAAAATGACTCTGCTCTCTTTTTACCCTCACACCAGCCACAAAGGTTTTCAAAAGTAAGTGGAGGTTAATTTGTTTTTCATTATATTTTGTATTTTCTAATATATATATATATACACACATATATATATATATATATATATATATAGCAGTTATTTTTTATAAATATTTTTGGTTTGTGGAGTGAATCATCTGAGTTTCCAATATTTTTTATGGGGAAATTAGTTTTGATATACAAGCGTTTTGGATTACAAGCATGTTTTAGGAATAAATTATGGTTGAAAAACAAGGTTTTCCTGTTTTAGTACAGGTTTATTTCATATCTTTCGTCAGTGAGTTCTCTAGAGCAGACTTTGAGGCCCTGGGTGGGAGGGCATTCCTCTTTGTATTTCCTAAAGCTCATACAGAGATTGGGGAAAAAAGCACTCTATAAATACTAATTGAATAAATGAATTATCAAACCACATTATAGTTCCTGTTATTCCTTCTCAAGAAGCTTTCTAAATGCTCTACCTGAAAGCATATATCCACTTAATAGATTAATAACATAAAGGTAGTTACCTAAATCTAGAATTGTCTAGGAAAGAATATTATACTTTCATATTAATTGGAAATATTTCTATATCCTATTTGTTTACTAAAAAATAAACATAACTCATAGTGAATCTTTTCTACAATTTCTCTTATTTGTATTTTTTGGTGCTTTTTATTTTAATGTGATACAAGAAAATATTAATGAAGAAAATATAAAACAGTTTTATGGAAAAATAACTTTTCATAACATGTAATTAGAGAATAACAATCATAAATGCACTATCACAATGTTAAAATATACATTTTCAATTGCTAATCTATCTCTCAATTCATTTCCTAATAATACTATATATTTTCTGCATAAAGCATTTTAATTATTAACAAAGCATCTCACACTTTGTATAATTTTGAACAATTTTTTCCTATTTCAATATGTCTATTATGTATTTTGGTCCTTATTTATGTTTTCAGTTTCTCACACCAGAGAGATAATGCAATCTTTACACATGTATGTTCGATTTATTTAACTTAAGAATATGGCCTCTTGGTGCATCCATTTACCTATAAGTGCCTCAAGTTTACCCTTCTTTATGGCTGAATAGTATTCCATTATATTAAAAAATAACCACATCTTTGTTTATTTATTCATTGGTTGATGGGCATTTTGGTTGTTTTCAATATTAAGCTATTACAAACTGTGCCACTATAAACATGGATGCTCATATAGTACTATGGCACGATGCTTTAAATTCTTTTGGAAAGATACCAAGAAGGGTGATAGTTAGGACAAATTGGACCTCTTATCCTAGTTTTTGAGGAATCTCTACATTTATTTCCACAGTGGTTGTACCAGTCTACACTCGGGCTAACAGTGGAGCAAGGTTTCTTTTTCACCACAGCCCCACCAACATTTGTTGTTGGTTGATTTCTTGATGATAGCCATGCTTTCTGGGGTGAGGCAGAATCTGAGCATTGTTTTAATTTGCATCTCTGGAGTGACCAGTGATGTTGAACATTTTTTCATGTATTTATTTGCCATTTCTACTTCTTCATCTGAGAAGTGTATATTCATCTCAGATGCTCATGTTTGAATTGAGTATTTAAATTTGGTGAATGTGATTTTTTTTCAATCCTTTATATGCTCTACATATTAGTCTTTTGTCTGAGGAACCACTGGCTAAAATTTTTTCCCACTCTATGAGCTACCTTATTTGTATTTTAACACAGTTGTATGTCTCTCATCAAGTTTCTTTATCACCCAAAAGCAAAATAATTATAAATGTTATTTTAAAAATGTATAGTTAACTCATTTATTTCAACAACCGTTTTCTCATGTTTTGATGTGGATCATTCTCTTTTTATATACTTATTCACTTCTGCTCAATATTTTTCCTATTAAAAATCATTTTATATCAGCTTTAAAAACACACGTGTATTTTCAAGAGGCAAAATTATCTCTTGACCTTCAATTCTCCTCTTTTTTTAAACAAGTATTTGTGCGTGATTTAAAGTATTAACTTGATATGAAGACAATTGGAGGAATTTAGCAATTATTGAAGAAAGAATAAATTTCTGACTTCCGGAGAAGCCCCCGCAGGCTACTTCAACTTGACTTAGTAAATCTGCCAATGTTTCTTTTCCTTAAACATAGCTTTCCTCATAAAAGAGTGATTCATTCTTAAATAATAAATATAGCTATGTAATTCAAATTAAATGCTTTAGATAATAGATGCTTTAGATATGAGTTAATTTAAATATTTTGTCAAATATTACTAAGCATTTACTATTTCAAATTTTACGTACATTTAATTTCAATACAAATAAGGAAATACTGTAAACATTTTATGCAATATTTTCATATTGGAAAGAATATCTTTTTTGCCATACTTGGAAATCTTTAATGTAATTCCTTGTTAATATTTGTGGGCCAAATTTGGCTATTTATCCGTTTCACATAAGATACTTTAAAAATATACAGATTCATGGATCCTATTTTAGAAATTCTATGAGAACAGATCTGGGATAGATATCCATGATTAAGCATTGTTAATACTCCATTTTTTCTAACACAGAAGAACCACGGATTTGTGGTTGGAAACATTCTTCTTTCAACTTGTTAGAATTTCTATAACTATTTGATCAATTATCACATGTGAATGGAAGACCAAAGGATTGATTTGGGAAATTTGCTTAGATATGAGGTTTAATAATAGTAATATATATCATTTTAATGTATTAAACATAGTAATAGTATTACATAAGATTCTCTCTATATGTGTCATTAAACCAGAATTTAGATTGATTTTGTTTCCTATTTTTTTTTCAAACTGTGTACATTGAATGCTTTAATAAAATTTATTCTGAATATTTTGTCTTTAAGACTTTCCATAGCCCTATCTCAGTCTTTCTAGGTGCTGGATAGATATCAAGCCTACATAGATATACCATGCTTATTACTTCTTGATGAAATCTACATTACATTCAGTTTTTCCCCTCATAAACAATGCAATGAAGAATAATCTTAGCTTCTTTCTGGTGAATATATTAGAGTGCAATTGCTGGTGTGTAGGTTTTTGGGTCTATTATTTTACTAAATGCTCTCACAGAGCACTTTGGATTTCTTTATTCATTTGTATTTTTGAAGTAGTTTCTATATATTTTTGAAGTAGTTTCTATAAACTTTTTCCAATAGTACATAATCTTCCACATTATAATTTTCTCCTTCTTTGATTTTTCAGTAGTGCCTTGATGCTATTTTAATTATTTCTCTGATCAATTGGATGTTATAATTATGGATTGATTACATATACATGGATCTCCCAGGTGTATATGTTCCTGGTTCTAAATTATAAATTGTATTTTTTCAACTAATTCTGAGCTAATTTTGACTGTTAATATATCTCCATATAGGATAACATGAGTCTCTTGATTTTTGTTAGTATTTTTCCATTTGTCTTAGCTCTTTTATTGATCTTATTATTTAATATATATTTTAGTATCAGAGTATTTATTTCCCAAACAATTTTAATAGAATTCTGATATTAAATTAATTGCATCTGGCCATAGGAATTTTTGGCACATTTACAAATTTTAAATATCTTAAAATAATGTATTTTTTCCACAGTATTAAGTTATTCTATAGATTTTATAAAGGTATTATAACATATTCTCCACAAAATTTCTTTTATAGAGATGTTAATTAAATGTAGTAGTATTTTAATTTAAAGAAACATTTCTACATTGTTTTTATTTTGGCTATTCTGAAGGGTAAGATGTTATCTCATTGTAGTTTTTGTCATCAATTTTATTGGTACATTTTAGGTATACAATATGCTAACATTCATTATTGGGAATTTGTACCTTTGTATAAAATATATTGGTTCTTATTTTTCCCCATTCCCTGCCCTCCCTTCAACCCCCCCACTCCTCCTTATTTACAAAGATTTAGTTTCCATTATTTCCTTTTCTCATATTTATTCCTTTCCCTTCTTTCCTTTCCCTTACCCCTAGCACTTCCCCTTCCCCTTTGGGGCTTATCTTCCTATTTCACATTATCTATTACGCTCTGGAACAATCTGTAAATATCTGTTAAATCCATTTGTTCAAGAGTTTGATTGAGTTCTAGTACTTTGTTATTTTTTTGTCCAGTTTATCTACCTCTTTGTGACACTGGGGTATTGAGGTTTCCCACTAATATTATATAAGTGCTTATTTGATTTCTCTTGTCCCTAGCTATTTATTTTATATATTTTGGTGGACTAATATTTGGTCCATATATATTTATGACTGTCATTTCTTCTTCTTGGATTGTTCCCTTTACAAGGATATAGTGGCGTTCTTTGTCTCTATTAGTGTTGGCTTAAAATCCACTTGATCTACAAAGAGTATAGCTGCTCCTGCTTTTTGGGGGGTTCCTGTCTCATGGAGTATTGCTTTCCACCCTTTAACTTTCAGTCTATGAGTTTCTTTTTGAATTAAGTGTGTTTCTTGTATGCAGCATATTGTTGGATCTTGCTTCTTGACTCATTCTGCCAGTCTATTCTTTTGATTGGTGAATTGAGACCATTAACATTGATGGTTATAACTGATATGTACTGACTTATCCTTGTCATGACATTTTCTTTTTGTTGGATTCTCCTCGTTTGCATTTAATTTATTGTCATGCCTGATGGATTCATTCTGCTTGGCTTCCTGGAGTTGTGATCCTCATTGTCTTCTCCTAGGATATTGTTTAAAATTTTTTGGAGTGGTTTTGGTATTCATGAAGTTCCTCAGATGCTCTCTGTCATGAATGTATCTTATTTTCTCATCAATTTTGAAAGATAGTTTTGCAGGATACATCAATCTGGGTTGGAGGTTGTTCTTCTTTAGTCCTTGAAATACTTCACTCCAGCCTCTTCTTGACTTGAGGGTTTCTATTGAGAAGTCTGCTGTGATTCTGATGGGCTTCCCCTTGTATGTGATTTATTTCTTTTCTCTGACTGCTTTTATCATGTTATTCTTCTGTTGAGTTCATACAATCGTAAC